AATTGGAGTATTAACTCTGTGATCAAAATAATTATATAAACCAGCGTCAGGACAAATCCAACTTGAAGTCGTCACCATCTTTGGGGCATTGATTCTGCAGCTGTCCTTCAGTAGCCTGGGAAATTGAGAATAAAACGGAGCTATGTCGGCCACAGAGTGACGGGAAAAGACACGGAGGAGAACCACGTGAGCAGAACTTTTCTTTCCTCCCGGGCCTGTTTTTCCAGCAGTAGTTCACAAGCCAACTGAACATTATTTGTGAAATCCACACGTGGAGGCTTCTGTGAAGATTTTAGCTACTTGTCCATGGTAGAATTGTTAAATGTTTCAATTACTAGGTAGACAAGGGGCTACCGATTTAGTCTCACAATGGCTTCTAGATGGTTCTGAGGTTGGTTGAGACTTACAGGGCTATCCTGGGAATAATGAGAAGGCAACTGTCAGTCAGGTCCTGACCCTGAACTACCAAAGCCCCAAAGAAGCTGAAAGGTAGGCAGGGAAAGTCTCACAAAATGGCTCTGTGACTCATGATAACCTTCAGGAGTCCAGCAAAATTATGTGTTTCCTCAGCAATTAACCCCAATAAAAGAGAACAGTGTGAGGATAGAGTGGAACTAACAGTGGTTAAGCAACGACGATGTGCTAATAGTTCATGCTGGAGTCCATTTATGAACTTTCAAATCCTACCCACCAACCTGTGAAAGAAATATTGTCTCTCATAATTACTCATCACTGGGAAACTGAGGGTCAAAGAGGTTGCTAACCTTGCTCATGTTACCAATTAGGTGGCCAAACTCACAGTCCCACCAGATCTGACCCCCAAAACCCCGCCCTCACTTGTGGTCCCAGGAAAATACAGGATGCCCACTTAAATGTTCAGGGAAACAACAAATATGTTGTTAGCATTTGTACGTCCCCAATACTGCACGGAACATGCAGATATTAAAAAGTATTCCTTGCTTAGCTGAAATGTAAATTTAACTGAGCTATACTTAAAAAAATATAACTATATTTTTGTTTGCTAAATTTCACCACCCTGGCCCTCACTGAAGTTTTCCGGCCGCCCAATGGGATTGCCAGTATTCTGCTGTTTGTTCTTCCGTATTAGATCATTGCACAAAGATTCCTTCCCGTTGTATACATTGGGGGATGGAGTGAGGAGGAAGGGGTCTGAGGGCGGGCTCCTCCTGAGCACAATCATGAGTGGGAAAATAATAAGCATTTCCTTTTTTCGGGATCACTGAGCTATGCTGGGGTTGGAAAACGCCTGGCTGGCCAGGTCGTTTTCCATGATGTCCACGTGGCTGGTTTTGAGCTTTCCAAAGTTTGTCTTTGTGGAGCCCTGGCCTCTTAGATACTTTGTGCACAGCTAACTTTGGGAAATGCTACAAATGGCACCCCTTGGAGAGTCGTGGGCACAGGAGATCACTGTAGGTCCTGAGAAAGCCTATAGGAAAGACTGCAGTTGGCCTTCTGCAACTAAGCAGCTGTCACGCTCCCTGAAAACAACAGTGGGAGCCCCTGCCTGTGGGATGAGGGAAAACTCGGCCCTTTCTCGGGTTCCCTTCTGAGACTGTTTCTGAGAATCCATGAGCCATGTTGATATGTTCTTTTCAGTTTGGGGGCCTCGGAAGGGAGCTGGGCCAGCAGTACTCAGCTGCTAGCACTGAGCTTATGTGGCGCACAAGTCCTTAGAGGTGCCGCTGTCTGGATTGAGCTGCACCCCGTTTACACGTCCCCTGCTGCCACCTTGTCACCTGCTTGCCCAGGCTGCTGGGCTCCTCCAGGTTGGTTTGCCCTGGGCTTTGGCACTAGCCTGCTCCTTAATTCCACTTTTCCAGCACGGAAGAGGCAAGCAGTGTTGGAAACCGGATGACTCCCAGAACCTCCACAGTGTCCCCTGCACGAAGTGTGTCGGTAAGTGCTTAGCAACCGGCTAGACGAGTTTGATTCCTAGTGTGTGTACTTCCTGTGGTGTAAATACCCCGCCGCAGTGGCTGATTTCATCGAGGGGAGTTGGGAAGAGATGCGCAGTGGTGCGACGTCCAAAGAATTTCCACCAACTGACACGATAGCCCTCAACAGTACAGGTAATAGAAAATGTCGTAAAATAATTAAGAAGCAATGAGCTTGAGTATTTGTTAACTCTGTTTTTAATATCATTTATTAAATGTCAGTTGACATAATTTAATTTTTAAAGTTTATTTATTTATTTTGAGAGAGAGAGAGAGAGAGCAGGAGCAGGGGAGGGGCAGAGAGAGAGGAAGAGAGAGAGAATCCCAAGCGCAGAGCCTCATGCGGGGCTCAAACTCACAAACCATGAGATCGTGACCTGAGCAACATCCAGAGTTGGACGCTTAACTGACTGAGCCACCCAAGTGGCCCCGTAATTTAATTTTTAATGACGGCCATGCCTACCAACTAGCTTGCAAAATTCATGACAGTTTTGCCATTTGTCGAAAGTCCACACAGCTAGCTCCTGCACACCACTGCGGCTTCAGGGTAACTTGCTCCTTAGCCTCCAGCCTGGCTCCAGATTGCACAGCCTACAACTCCCACCCGCCATCCGCCTCTCCCGTCCCCACCCCAACCAAAGGAAGGCCCTTGAAACCGTTTTTGCCCTACCCAGAATCCAGGCCTGACTTTCCCCCAGAAGGCGTTTCCCCCAGAAACACTCTGCAAATTAATGAAGACAGACTTTTCTATTACAAGAAATGCCTTTACCTTGAGTCATCCTATTTCAGAACAGGATACTTGCCTTAGTTTGCATATATATAATGGGTATCAGTGTATTTTTCCCAAAGCAAATGAATTAACTGCACCTCCAAAGGTGACTTCTAGACTCTAGTTGGAAGTCAGCACAATGGAGAACCACTAAAGCTTCAGAATTGGGGGTCAGTTTTTTTCCCCAAGATTTCAGAGACTTCTGGGCCAAATCTTAGATGGGGCTCCGAGCCTCTCAGCATCCCTCTTCCCAATTGCTACAGAAGAAAAGATTTTCCCAGACATGTGGCCTATAGGGGAGGCTGGTGTTGTTGGTTGTATTGCCTTTCCCCAAAATATGTTGGAGTCCTATAAATGTGGCACCTATAAATGTACCTTACTTTGAGGGATTGCGTTGGGTGGGTGGGGGGGTGGGGGTGTCTCCTGCCTCTTGTCTTCCTCCTGTGGACCACACTGCTTCAAAGAACCTGAAAACCTGCACAGGAATAAACAGATCTCTGCATAACTAACCCCGGGTCATTCTGTCCTGATCCTAAATCATCCTTAACTTGTGACCCATGCAAACATGCATTCACCTCTACCCCAAAGGTTTATCACTAGCCACAGACATTTCTCTCCCCATGCCTCCTAAATAAATCACTTCCCAGCTAGGGTCTGAGAGTTCTGGAAGTCTCAGGAATTGAAATAGTTCACCTTGGAAAATCTTAATTCAGTTGGTTTTTGTCTCACAGCAGATGTTATATAAATACTTGATTATTGATAACATTCCCACTTCGCATAAATGTTTCTGCCATATTAAAGGCGATGAGAAGAGAAATGATATAATTATGGCAAACTAATTTTACTAATTACTCAGAGCATGACAGTCAGGGGTTCCAAAAGATGAGTGGAGAGAGGACCTGGGTGCCGAGCTCTGAGGTTCCAGGGTACACGGTGGGCCAAGCACTGGGGTATATGGGGGTTGGAGAGCAGCCAGTGTCCTCGGCTGACCAATTCAGCAGCCAAGGGTATGGCTGAGACCTTTCTGGTTCCAGCTCCCAGACCTGTCCCCGCACCTCTTCTTCTGATCCCTTCATTCACAGCTTCCTGCCCCCAGGCCTAGTTGTTGGCATAGTTGCCCCCAGCCGCCAATCTAGGTGGCCAGGCCCGCTACCCCTAGAGGTTCAGGAGGGGATGGAACTCCTGAGCTAAGTTCAGAGGAGGAGGTTGTCCAGGCCACCATTGTGGCAACTCCCACCCCAGGCCATCTGTACCTGCTGCCACTGTGGGCGTGTGCACGTAGATCCTCTGCAGGGTTTTGCCCGACTATTCCCGAATTGTTATGTTGTTGTTTTACTGCTTCTGAAATACCTAAATCCAAGATCCAGTCACCTGGGAACCCCTGGAAGAATAATCCTTCCAGAATTCTGGCCCCAAGTGGCTAAACCTGGGATGATGTGCCCATGGTAGGTCATGAGAGGTGACGTGATTCGTGGCCTCTAATAAATCTCTCCTCCCTGCATCTAGGACCTGGGTCATCTCCTCCCAGTGGCTCACAGTGGCCTATGTGCACCAGCACAGGTGACCCAGGCAGAGGCTTCAGAAGCACAGCTACATGGGCGTCTATCCTTGTCTGCCAGAGACGTCATATGGAAGAGAGCTGAGGCTCCCTGGCTGGAAGCCCCAGACATTTGCATGAGGCCTTCTCAGACCCTATAGCTTCATGAGTAACCCCCCAGAGGACTGCCCAGCTGAGCCCAGAATGGTGAGCAGGTAATGGTGGCCATTGGAGCTGCTAAGATTTGATGTTGGTTGTTACCCAGCAATAGGTGATTACACACTACCCTTGATCTGCAGAACTTTCTTTCATTCACTCAAGTCATACTTTCCGGAGCACCTACTGTGTACCAGACTCATTGACAGGGAGCAGGGAGACAAAGAGGAACAGAGAATAGCTTCCAGCAAAGAGCTCAAGGTTCCAGGTTAGAATATACGACATCCTGGTCAGGGCGCCAATAAGAGGTTCATGACAAAGATGGGATCTCTCCTTCTTTCTCTCTTGAATTAAGTGAATCCTTCATAAGGCACTCCTATCGAGTGCCAGGTTCTGTGCCAGGCACAGCGGTGAACACAAGAAGCAAGACCCATGGATCCAGTGGCATTTAAGACAGACACTTCTGGTCCCGTGCTTGTCTTTGTCCTGGGAGGAGACACCTGCTCTTCTCGCCCCAGTACGTATGTGGTTTACCTTGGGGGGGGGGGGGTAGCAGAAGGAATAACATTATTTCCATAATAAATACTTTTGAGCAAGGCAACCATTTAATATTCTTTGTATCCAAGTGATTTAGGCCGAAAAGTAATTTCAGCGAAGATGTTGTTAATTGAGATGTTGGCAACAATGGCATCTCCAACGCCTTTCTGTGAGACGCGTGGTGGTCATTCCTGGGCAGTGAGTATCAGGGACTTGATTTCTCCTTCCCTTCTCTCAGCCACCTATTTATGAGTGGCCTGAGAAGGCAGAACGAGGCAGGAGTTAGACGTGGCTTCACATCTCCTAACAATAGCTGGGGACAGCAGGATGGCTCCTTTGAGGGCATCTGTCTAACTCTTCTGGAGAGTGGTGTCATTGGAGGTGTCCCAGGTTGGGTTCTCTGGGAAGCACACTCTGAGATGGAGATCAGCCGCTGAAGTTTGGTAGGGAGTATTCTCAGGATCAGCACCTGGGGAAGAGGAAGGAAGGAAGCAGGACTAGACCAGAGAAGGCGGGCTTCAGCCAACCCCATGGGGAGCTCAGAAGCTGGCCTGGCTTTTCAGATTTGTCTTACACTGAGGGGCCAAGGCCTTTATACTCCTGAGTCAACCACTCATTGGCTTCCCAGGAAGTGGGGTTCTCTGGGGCACAATAACTGTTTTCAGGCAAGGTAATTCCTCAAGGGGGATGACAGCTGAGGGCCACCTGCTGGCAATATTTCCGGCAGCTGACAATCTAGTTCTTTACTTCTAAATGGGATCTGGGTACATTCCAACATCTACCACGGAGGATGAACAGGATCTGTCCTCAAGATAACAGGAACGTTTTGTCGGTGCTGAACTCTGCCTGTCATTCTTTTTGGGCACCTGTTCTTCCTATACAGTAGGTAACTGGCTGTGTCTCCTACAATGTTCTCCCATTTGACCATTTCAGAATAAGCATGATTGTGATGATAATGGAGGTGAGGAGGAGGAGGAGATCTGAGTTAGGAGATAAGCTATTCGTTTAAAGACTTGCACTCTTAAAATACACATAAGCAATGCTCTGTTATATTTGCTGACCAAGAGGGGTGCCTGGGTGGCTCAGTCGGTTGAGCATCCGACTTCGGCTCAGGTCATGATCTCATGGCTTGTGAGTTCTAGCCCCGCGTCAGGCTCTGTGCTGATGGCTCGGAGCCTGGAGCCTGCTTTGGATTCTGTGTCTCCCTCTCTGCCCCTCCCTCTCTCATGCTCTTGTCTCTCTCTGTCTCTCAAAAATGAATAAACGTAAAAAACAATTTTGCTGACCAAGAGACTGAATAGATGAACACATTTTTTAGTCGGCTCGTCAGTATCCGGCGGGAACCTTTTAACAGACCGGGTTTCAGCCTGAGGAATCCACGCTGGCATATGGGGCTTGTTGCTGTGTGTGGTCCAGGCCTTTTGGGTTATGCTGTCAATCAGATAAGCTGGGGAGAGGAGCCAGTCTTCCCTTGGCTCACGGAGGGTACTATGGCCTTGATGCTTACAAGGATGTGCGCAGTGGAAGCCAGGAGATAATTTAGTTCAAAAATTTTTTTCTTTCTCAGAGTCACAAAAGGTATTTATCTCTGATCTCCACAAACCGTAAGTACAGAAAAGTGCCATTTTATAGTAGGTAAAATAATGTACTTAGTCCCTTCATCATCTGTCCGAATTCACATACCATATGTGAAAACGACCCTTTTCTCTCATCAATTACAAAACAGATATAGAAATGTTTTTCAAACTAGTCACTATAAGGAGTCTGTTAAAATAAGCATCTCTGTAAGACAGAAATTTTCTAACATGCACAGAAGTAAAAAGATTAATATATGAACGCCCCATGTACTCACCACCCAGCTTCAATAGTTATCAATATCTTACAAATCTTACTTCACCTATCCCCTTGAATTTTTTTCTGGAGTGTTTTGAAGTAAATCCCAAACATCATGTGATTTCACCGGTAGGTGAATATTTCAGTGTGCCTCCCTACCTGATAAGGATGTTTTGTTTGGTTTTTTTTTAAGATAACCAGCATGGCACTATCCTAAAAATTTTGCCATAATTCCTTGACTTCACATACTCTTCAAACTTCTTTGTCTTAAAAATGTCGTTTCAAGGTTGGTTTATTCGGGTTGAGACCCAAAGAAGATCCATACATTGCATTCGATTTGAATGTTTCTTAACCCCTTTTATTCGATTCTGTTGCACACTTTTTAAAATAATGCCATTGATCTGTTTGAAAATGGGTTATTTGTCCTGTAGAATTTGCACATTTTAGATTTGGCTGGTCGCTGCCTCAGGGTGTCATTTAACCAGTTTCTCCTCCAACTGTTTCTCCTGTAAAATGATATTTACGTCTTGAGTTGTGATTAGATTCAGGTTCAATTATTTTAGGCAAGCGTTCTTCCTAGGTGGTGGTGCACCCTACCTATTGTTTCTTGTCACGAGGTGTGTTATTTCTGCCAATCCCATGTTTCCCAATGCCTGTCTGTCCTAGATCAGCCAGCGGGTCAGACTGATCACTCCATTAGGAAGCCTTTCATCTTTAGATGTTCTTTCTCTTGGGGACATGCTACCCTTTCCTGCCCTCAAAGGCTCGCCTGATATTTGGCAGCATTCACCGATGAGTGTAGCCTAGATCCACTATTTCAAAGTGGCAAAATGGTAATTATTAAACTTTCCGAAGTTATTGGCTGGAATTCTTAATATCCTTTCTGAAGTTATTGGCTGGAATTCTTCTGTTGAAACAAATCAGAAACAAAAGACCTTCCCTCATGAATTACCAGGCAAGAGTCCATTTCAATGCCATGGTTAAGTGTGTGATATTGTTTGATTTATGTTGACCAAGGGACTCCTAAAGAAAAGAATGACTTAAACATCCGTAGCAGCAGAATTTGGGAGAGAGCCTGGCCGCTGGCCTGTAGGCTCAATGCCACTCTCTTCTTCCGTGTTCTTTCCAGGCCCTCTGTAGGGGCTTTTAGTCCTATTTCAAAGCCACATCAGCTGGGACCTTGCTGTGGCAGTCCTGTTCTTTTACTTTGGTCTTTATACTTTGTCTTGATAGTATCTATGCTCTGCCTGAAATATATACAATAGTTTCCCTTATTTTGGGAAAAAAAAAATCCTTCTCTTATGCTGTAATGCCTAATGTGTGAGTTCCTACAGAGTTTCTACTGAGATGGTGTAGCCATCTTTCAGTTCGGTTTCCATTCATCTCTTATACCTCATGCCTTGACCAAAGCAAATCCTACCATTTCCCAAACATGGGCTGTGCATTCCTTCCGTCACTTCTTTATCACACTGTTTCTTCTGCTAGAATTTGTCAGAGCTTCCTATCCCCAAAGATTTGGTTCAAGCGCCGTGTCTCCATGAAACCATTTCTAATTATCCTGGCAGAAGAAAGAGATCAAGTTCCCAGTTGCCCAAAGAAATGTGTACCTGTGTGGGATATAATCTATTAAACTTTTGAAGAGATCTGCTAAATAATGCAGAGAGACAATAACAGACGCACACGAAATTTAGAAATGGAAAATAAAGGAGAATACAAGCGCATTATTCTGGTTAACAGAGCTGCCGTGATTGAGCCATGGATCCAAGCTTCCCAAGAGCTTGAGAAAAGGAGAGAAATGCTTAAGTTACGTGATTTTCAGTACTGGAAGAAATCTTTTCAGTTCCATAGTGGTATAGGAAAATTTTCTGGGCTCCAATTTCCGAAATAAAGTTTTCAGAGCGGTTATACGGGTGGTATCGTGAACATCATTTTATAGCAAGAGCAGAAATAAACTTCATGTGGCCATTTCTTATAGCAGCATTAGATAATCTAATGTGGAGCTTATCAGATTTAGTTCAAGTATCAAGGCTTCTGATGTTCTAATCTGATCAAAGGAAATTCAGAATGCTTACAGGAATAAATGGAACGCACATGCTACATAGGCAATCATCTGGGTTGACCACCTTTCCCATCCAGCGCGATGAGCTGGGTAAACGATAGTTTAAGTTGAACCTATTGGTGAGAGTATACATCGCTTGATCCTATATTTTGCTGCACAAGGGTTGGTGCATATAATTTGGAAACCAAGTAAGCAGATGGTAGGGTCAATAACCTTCTGTGGGAATTGAGAAGTTAATCTGTGTTCTCACTCAGATGGAAGGTCATTGTGTCCATAGTTAACTATAGACAAAGCTAGGGGTTCCCTAAAAAGGCTGTCTTTGATGGGCTCCTGAAACTGAACACCAGGATCTCTAGAAAACATTTTAGGGCCTAGACATTTTTCAAAATAGCTTTTAAAAATTATCCTACAATCGTACTATGACCTCAGTAGCTTTCTTCTAGAATAACTGGTTCTCTACGATATGGCTCCTGTCTGCCTCCATGGGAATGTCCCTATGTGGCTTGACAAGGAAGCTTTCTTCAAGGCATTATTCCACGCCATCCAAATATTCAACACTGGATTTTGCAGAATGTCTGATGAAGATACTTGTTGCTTTAATTTATTTAAGAAGTTTTTTACTCTGGAAAATTTCAAACATACATAAAAGTAGAAATACTGTAACTAACCTCCAGCTAAAACAATTATCTACATTTTAATCTGCTTGTTTTTAATTATAACAGTAAAACACATGATAAAAGAAAAAAAAATCAAAGAGTACCAAAAGACATTAAATAAAGTCCCTTTTGCCTTCTACTCCAAGAAAACCTCTCTTAACAGTTCTACAGTATCCTTTTAGAAATGTTCAGCACATATATGTATGCACATTAGTTCTTTTTAAAAAATGATCACACTGTTTTTCTTACAGGTATTTTATTTTTCTCTTATACATACTGGTTTTCACCTTGCTGCTTTTTTAAACTTAATAAAATACCTTGGAGAGATTGCCATTCTTCTGGGTATAAATCCACTTCATTCTTTTCTTAGTAACAAAAAATCTCTCTCCTTTTTTTTTTTAACAATAATCACCTTCATGTACTTCTGACTATATACCTACAGTTGTTCATCTTTCTTTACATATATTAACTCTTAATCCTCACGACATCTCTACATACAATTATCCCATTTTACAGATGGGAAAACTGAGGGATGGAGAGGTACACAGCTGGTGAGTGTCAGAGTCTTATGCCCTTAACTACCTCACTGGCCTGCTTCTATGTAACACAATGTTGTCCATGGTACATGCTATTCCATTGCATGGACCTACCATACTTTATTTCTGTGGGTGGATGTTTAGATTGTTTCCAATTTTGCCTGCTTTATTAGCAATGCTGCTGTGACTTCTGATTAAGCGTGGAAATTTGAACACTAGCATTTATTGCCTATCTCTCCTGAGACCCCACTAATGTGACAGGAAAATTGTATGCATGCACAAACACCCAGAAAAAAAACCATAGGGACGAAGATAACAGGGAAAGAAGGTGAAAGTACCAACATTTTGGAAGCTGAAAAGTAGATAGATGACCAGTAACTAAGAACAGATCAGAGAAAGTTGAAACCTTCATGGTATTGGGCGAAACCAAGAAGCAGATCTGTTGGTGTTTCAGAATCTCAGAAAGGTCAGGCACCTGGAGCTTCTGAAAGAAGGAAGGTGTGGCTGAAAACATGATAACTGGTTAAAAATGTTTGAGATGATAACGCTTTTAAACAATAATAAAGCAGAATATTCTCATGACCTTGGAATCGGGAAGGATTTCATACAGAAGAAACAACAGGCACTAACCATAAGGAAAAGACTGGTAGATTCAATGACTTCTCTTCATCCAAAGACACCATAAAGAGAGGACAAAAGAAAACCACAGAGTGGGAGACAATGTTTGAAATACATGTAAATACAACATAGTATTCAAAATACATGAAGGACTTTTGGCAGTAAGAAAATAAGAAAAAGAGCAAATTTTAAAAATAAGCAAGACACTCCAACAAGCTCTTCACAAAAGAGAAAATCCAAATAGTTGATAAACAGGGGGAAAGCTACCCAATGTCATTTTTCATCAAGAACCTGCAAAGGAAAGCCATAATGATATATGCTTACGTACCCGGCATATTGGTAAAATTTGAGCAGTTCTAATAATACCAATTGTCGACAAAGAAACAAAGGCACAGACACTGCTGGTGGGAATGAACCAGGGGTAGGGACCTTGGAGAACAGTTTGGCATTCTATGACCAAGTGTGAGGTATGCATCCCCTATGACCTAGATATCTTACTACCAGGCCTACAACTGTGATTCTGACACCAGTTCTGATGTGGGTTTTTTTTTACCCCCACACCAAGCAAATCTCCCACACCAGATCCCACAGGCTAAAGGCTCAGTCCCACAAGACTGCCCCCCTCCCTTCCAACACCAACCACAAGTCCAAGATGTTACCTGGTTCTTCTGACCAATGGGCTGTAAATCAGTGGTTTCCATGACCCCCTCCTTGGAGTCATTAATTTGCTACAACAGCCCACAGAACTCAGGGAAACATTTTACTCATAGATTGCCAGTTTATTATAAAAGGATATCACTCAGGAACAGCCAGATGGAAGGAAGAAATTCATAGGGCAAGGTATGGAGAAGAGGTGTGGAACTTCCATGCCCTCTCCAGGAGCACCTTCACGTGTTCACCAACCCAGAAGCTCTCAGAACCCTCTCCTTTTGGGTTTTTATGGAGGCCTCATTACAAAGGCATGATTGATGAAATCATTGGTCATTGGTGATTGAATCAACTTCCACCCCCTCCCCCTCCCCAGAGGGGAGAAGATGGTGAGGGTGGGACTGAAAGTGCCAACCCTCTTAGCATTTGGTTGGTTCCCTTGGGAACCAGCCCCCCACCCCCATCCTTAGGTGACCTAGGGACTTCTCAAGTCACCTCATTAACATACCAAAAGACACCTTTATTACTCTTACCACTTAGGAAATCCCAAGGGTTTCCTGAGCTCTGTGCTGGTCACAGGATAAAGACTAAACATATATTTCTTATTATAAATCACAATATCCCAACACCCTACAGAGATCTGTGCAGACAGGCACCAGGACGTATGACCGAACAGGCTCAGGTCGTCGTTTCACAAAATAGCCTCAAAGTAGAAACGACCCAAGTGTCCATTAACAATAGAATAGATAAGTAACTTCTGGCATAGGCATTGGTTCTGTGGGATCCTGTAAACAGTGAAAACAAATATAGACTTCATGCAATAATACAGATGAATCGCAAAAAAAGGTTGAAAAGCAAGACGCAAAAAATGCAACATGTCATTTGTAGAATCTTTAAAAACATCTAAGAGCTGGAAAATGTTAATTCTAATAATGTTATTTGTCTAGTCAGGCACGACACAAAATCCCAAAGTCCATCGAGGAAACTCACGTGGCCCAAGCTGCCTCCTGGGGACCTTTCCAGGGTCTCTGTGCATCCCAGCCTCAGGAGATCTGGCCCTGCTTCAAGGCCAACTCCTGCTTACCTGGCTTGCCTACCCCCTAGGCCTGCCCCTCAGAGCCCTTCTTATCTCTCTGCTGAGCTACCCCAGCCAGGCTCCCAGTCAGCCTCCCTTGCCCAAAACCCCTGCCCCCAAAAGCGTGTGTACACGGTAGCCTAACTGCAGGCCTGGGCAATGAATGCGGCTCTGTGGTCAAGACGGTGGGCCCCTGGGCTCAGACTTGGGGTTCACATCACTTAAAGGCTTTGTGATCTTGAGCAAGTTACTTAACCCCTTTGTGCTTCCCTCTCTCACCCCCAAAACGAGCATATTAATAGAACCCACTTCATAATGGTCATTCTGAGAAATAAACCAATTAGTGTACCGGGCCCGGCCTAAGTACCTCAGAAATATTCATTATCATTACCTGGAGAAGGTACAAATGACATCAGTGATGTGAATCCCCCATGTTGGAAACTTCTCACCGGGCAGTTTTCTCCACGGCATCTGCATCTTGTCCATCATGGCCACCCCCACCCCCCGCCAGTTCTTTCACAAGGCCGTACTTCTCCATTTCTGAACTTCCTTTGCCCCTACCCTTTGACTCCGTTCTGTAATTTCTCAGACAATGTAGCTGCCCCCTGGGCCCCTACTCAGTTCCAGGCCTGCTCCTGCCTCTGCTCAGCCAGAAGCTCCCACACACCCCCTAAGCACAAGGCCACCCACCTCAGGCGACGACAAATGCCAGGGACAGCAAATCTTCGGTCCCCCCAGCTCCACTGAGCAGGAGGGAATTCGTTTTCCCGTGGAAATGAGTGATGCCAGTGCCCTTCAAATGGAGAAGCCACTACAGTCACCTCCGGTCTTCAATAGCAAAATGTTCCTTGTTCCTTATGAGCAAATGCAGCCGTTTTTCCTGTTTGATTTGCCTCAGCCGTCTTCCCAGCAGAACGGAGGGTGGGGACACCGTGTTCCCCGCTGGTTCTGCGTCTGGGCTGTCATCCTGACCAGCCGCTGAATGGACACCGTCTATGGAGTCCAAGGTTGATCAGGTTGGAGAACCAACTATCCGCGTAATCCTCATACCTGACCCCGAAGGCACACTGTGCTCTTTTCTCCGAAGGGACATTCAAGTTGGGGGGAAGGGCAAAGAGTTCTTATTACAGGTGCCTGGGAGCCCTGATCTGGCCCTCTTGAGAGCCACTGGAGGCTTGGCTGCATGTTGTTTTGGGGGGCTCCCCCCCTCCAGTAAAGTAGAAGAGAAAGACACCTAAAGCCTTGGAGATAAGAAAATTCACTTTGTAAAAAGCAGGACTCTTGGAGCAGATAGTCACAACGTGATGGGAAAGCGTATTTACTTTAGAAGCCAATTAAGCCAGGCGCCTGGGTGGCTCAGTCGGTGAAGCATCCGACTTCAGCTCAGGTCGTGATCTCACAGTTTGTGGGTTCGAGCCCCACGTTGGGCTCTGTGCTGACAGCTCAGAGCCTGGAACCTGCTTTGGATTCTGTGTCTCCCTCTCGCTCTCTGCTCCCTCTGTCTCCCTCCCCCATGTGCTTTGTCTCTCTCTGTCTCTCAAGAATAAATTTTTTTTTTTTAATTAAAAAAACATAAGCCAATTATGCCTCATCTCCAAACAGGTGTGCTGTGGGATCCACAACATTCAGAAGCAAAATATGTCCCTTTACCATATTTTTTATCCAAATCCAATTAAACATAGTCTGTGCCTCCACTTGACAAGAATACCAAGAAATGCACTATCAGTCAGGTTGTGGGGTGCCCCCTGCTTGCCTAGGATGCTATGAGTCTGTCCAGAAAATGTGGGGAAAGGCCTTTGGTTTTTAGGCCATCCTGAATGATCCAGTGGTCCGGCCCCAGCTAACTGTGCCAGCTGCTGGGGCCTGTCGGAAGGTGGACGGCCATGTTCTTCCTGAGCAAAACTTGGACACGGAGATCTTTAGCCTCACAGCTTTGGGTTTGGTTGTCTGGTCACCCTATCAGAAGTCCTGCCACCAGCGGGGTGCTGCAAAGGAAGTCGGGGGCAGAGAAACCCACCCAGTCAGGCCTGCAAGATCTAACCCTTGTCTCAGGGGCCAGACCACTCCTCACTTTCTCAGCCCCCTTGGCCTCTTGGTAGGCTGGGCAAATGGAGATTGGACTACAGAAGAGAAGGCGATTGATGGAAACAGATTCAGGAGTGGTATGAACAAGGGCACTCGGGCAGCCTCCGGACCAGGAAAAGGGGAGGAAACATTCTCCTGGAGGCTGCAAAAGAAACACTGCCGGGTCCACACCTTGGTTTTAGCCCAGTGAGACCCATTTCAGATTTCTGACCCCCAGAACTGCGAAATCAGTTTGTGTCATTTTTCTTTTCTTTTCTTTTCTTTTCTTTTCTTTTCTTTTCTTTTCTTTTCTTTTCCTTTTCTTTTCCTTTTCTTTCCTTTCCTTTTCTTTCCTTTTCTTTTCTTTTCTTTTCTTTTCTTTTCTTTTCTTTTCTTTTCTTTTCTTTTCTTTTCTATTTGCCTATAGCTGGCATACAATGTTACATTAGTTCCGGGTATACAACATAGTGACTTCTCTGGTCACCGGCCCACTTGTCATTGTCCAACACTACCTCAATACCATTGACTAGATTCCTTTTTTTTTAATGTTTATTTATTTTTGAGAGAGAGAGAGGCAGAGCGTGAGTGGGGGAGGGGCAGAGAGAGAGGGAGACACAGGAATTGACAAGGAATTGACTATATTCCTTATTGCTGTGCCTTTCATTCCCATGACTTATTCATTCCATAACTGGAAGGAAGCCTGTAACTTTCCCCTCCACTCGTGCCCCCCTCTCCTTTTCTCTGGTAATCATCAGCTTGTTCCCTGTATTTATAAGTATCATTCTGCTTTTTGTTTGTTTATTCATTGGGGTTTTTTCTGTTTTGGGGTTCCACATATAATGAGATCATATGGTATTTGTCTTTCCCAGTCTGACTTATTTCACTTACCATAAAATCTTCCAGGTCCATCCATGTGGTCGCAAATGGCAAGATCTCATTTTTTTTGATGGCTGAGTAAGATTCCATTGTGTGTGAGGGTGTGTGTGTGTGTGTGTGTGTGTGTGTGTGTGTGTGTGTGTATACACACACATCTTCCTTATCTATCTGTCTGTTGGGAAACACTGGGCTGCTTCCATATCTTGGCTGTTGTAAATACTGCTGCACTAAACATGGGGGTGCAGGTATCTCTTCAAATTAGTGTTTTGTTTTCTTTGGGGAAATGTGTGTCATTTGAAGCGTCAAGTGCATGGTCATTTGTGACAAATGCAGACCCTTTCGTCAGGGGACAATTGAGCTCTGTGGCCCAGACTTTTGAAAATTAAAGTTTCAGCAAGGTTAGAGAAACCCAGCCCCCCCAGGACCCTGAGGCGAGGCTGCGGGCCTGCCTTGAAGGGGGATGGGAAAATATCTTCATCCCCTTCACACGAGCTCGCAGCGGGATGTAAGACACAGCTGATTTCTCAATCACATGCTCCTGTCACTCGGGAACATTTGAAGCCCTAGTCATGGAGCTCTCCTCCAGAACCCCTGGAACTGGCGGGTTTCTGCAGTGCCTCCATAAAGCTTGGGGCCTCGCAGGTCCAAAACCAATGCTTAGGGGCGCCTGGGTGACTCAGTCAGTTAAGCGTCTGACTCTTGATCTCAGCTCAGGTCATGATCTCCTGGTTCGTGGGATGGAGCCCCACGTCGGGCTCTGTGCTGACAGCCTGGAGCCTGCTTGGGAATCTCTTTCTCTCTCTCTCTCTCTCTCTGCCTCTCCCCTGCGTGTGCACAGGCTTTCTCTCTCTCAAAATAAATAACCTTTAAAAAACATGTTTAAAAAAGATAAGTGAAACCAATGCTTAAATAACTCATCCTTGGCTGGGTGAGCCTCTGTCATCTGGACTACTGAAAGTCTGCCGACCAGTTCTTCCTAAGAGGAGCTCTGATGATGGCCTCCTAAGAAGGGCTCCCTGGGGAGAGGCAGGGCTCATTGGAGACCCACCAGCAGGGTGAGTCTGGGCACAGTGCAGCTGAATGCGGGCACAGCAGGAAGGAGGGATGAGGTCCAGGTCGTCCATGTGGGGCATTGCCTTGGCTAGTGTCTGGGCAGGGCTCCTGCTGCATACTGTCAGGCTGCAAAAACAGGGCATTAACAGGTAAGAATCCCGCTTATTGGGGGGAAACCTACAGCCTATGGGTTAATCGTGCTTTGTTTTGCCTTCCTAAGATAATATTTCATATTTCTGGGGCGCCTGGGTGGCTCAGTCGGTTAAGCGTCCGACTTCAGCTCAGGTCACGATCTCGCAGTCCGTGAGTTCGAGACCCGCATCGGGCTCTGGGCTGACGGCTCGGAGCCTGGAGCCTGCTTCGGATTCTATGTCTCCCTCTCTCTCTGCCCCTCCCCTGCTTATGCTCTGTGTCTCTCACTCTCAAAAATGAACAGATGTTAAAAAAAATTTTTTTTAATTTCATATTTCTAATGTACATGAAAGGAATCAATCCTTTTTACTTTTCTCATCAAAACTTTAGGTCGTCTGGTTAAAGGCAAGCGTATCAGTGTCTCATTTCTGCTGTAACAAACGACCACAAACTCGGTTCAGAAAAACACAAATGTGTTATCTTCCAGTTCTGGAGATCAGAAATCTGAAACGGGTCACGGGGCTAAAATCAAGGTGTTGACCGTTCCTTCTGGAGAGCTGGGAAGAATCTGTTTCTTTCCCTTTTTCAGTTTCTAGAGGCTGTCCAGGTTCCTTGGCTCGTGGCCTTTCCTCCTATCTCTGCTTTTGTTGCCCCATCTGCCCTAACTCTGAGTCTCCTGCTTCCCTCTCTCACTTCTAAGGACCTTTGTGATTACGCTGAGCCCACTTGGATGATCTAGGATGATCTCCCCATCTCCAGATCTTTAACTTAATTACATCTGCATAGTCAGTTTTGCCATGAGAAGGATCATATTCATAGGTTGCAGGAGTTAGGACATGGGCATCTTTGGGGGCCATTATTCTGCCTACCTTAGCAAGCCAATTTACTAAGATATTTTTAGAACCTAGCTGTAAAACACCTGTTCATGGAATCTTCTTGAGGGAACCTAGTGTTGTCCACAGATGCCTGGCATATACTAGTGACTCTTTGCTTCTTTCTCTCCTAGCTGTCTGTGTCCATTTGTTCACTCATGAGTCCTTCCTTTCCAATAGACAATCCTTAGAAGCAGCTGTTGGAGATGATCCCATTGTGAAATTTCTAAGGCTCTTCACAAAGGGCCTCCAAGGACCTATGGATGAACAAGTTCTTGATTAGCCTCTAGCTTCCCTCCCCCAGGGTCTGAGGGCCAGCTGATTGGTCCATTACCAGAAAGAAAACATTCTTATTTCTAGCTGATCAGAAACACACATGCTTCCAGAAGATGGGGCCAGACATTGCCTTACTTCTTCCTCAGTGTCCCCCCCACCCCATTCAGAGCTTTCTTCCATGTGCTCCTAAGAGGATCTCTGCTTTCCCTCCCTCCCTCCCTTCCTTCCTTCCTTCCTTCCT